ACATCAGCACATTTCTGCAGCTAACTCACAGCTACTTGCTAATGCTATCTCAGGAACATTAGCACAAGCTGCAAAGCTAACACTAGCTTGATGAACACTGTGGTCTTCACTGACACTGAGCTGTTTGCAGGTTTCACTGACTGTTTTTTCCCTTTTTGTTGCCCAGCAACAGCTGCCTGCTCTCCTGTGCTGCTATTCACCACTTCACCTACCTGACCTCTGACCCTGGACCAGCGCCTCAGCCTACAGACGCAGGTCCAGGACTCGCTGTGATTGGACTTGGATCGGTCTGGTTCTCAGTAACCTGACTGAACCCAGACACCCAGGATTTCAGGAGAAACAACCAATTACATGACCCCACAGTGCCTTGTCACCCCACCCACCAGCCAATCAGCAGGAGGTCCAGGAGGGCGGGGTTTATCATTCAGGACGTTTGTGTTCCTGCAGGCTATTGAAATGTTCAGGAAACACAGAGCTCTCTGTGTGCATCTCGTGACCGTCTGCGTCACGTTTCAGGAAGTCAGAGAAGCTCCCACCTGATTTCACTGCTGGAGGAGGAGCCAGAACATCACTGCTGGAGGAGGAGCCAGAACATCACTGCTGGTTTGAGTGTCTTCAGAACGAGAAGACTCTCACCTGACCAATCATAAGCCGTGTCACTCGCTGCCCGAGGTGCATCCCCACTTTGAAACTCGTCAGAGACCCAGATCCAGTCTGCAGGACTGAGGTGCCCACCTGTAAGTCGACAGCAGACCAATCACAGCGTCCTCTGGTCTCTGACACGTTTAACCCTTTAATGACTTTACTTCAGGCTGCTGAGCAGGAACTCTGTACCCACACCTGAGGGGGGAGGGCCTATGTTACCCAGGTAACAGCAGCTCACAGGTCAGATGTTTATGTCTTGTAAGTGATCTGTGGAGTCCAGGAAGTAGAAGAGTCATGATGAGGAGATGCTGGAGGAGGGGTCATGTCCCCTTCTATGGATTCTACTTCTGAGGTTTAAGATAAGCCTTAAGCTCCGCCTTTCTGGGGGCGCAGCATCATGTTTCATATCGTTCTTATCTGTCCAGCGTGCTTATTTTAACAC